TGCTTACTGACAATTTATGCATTTCCGCGCCGTTTTAAAATTTAATTTATATCTTCGAATTCCTTCAAAGATGTCTTCAAAGATATTATCTAAATTATGATTCTGATTTTTTATTGTGGGACTTATCAATAAACAAACAGGTTAAACACTCAAAAAATGTAAGTACATATTTTCTTTTATTTTATAATTGTATACTTCAATTTTTGTTAAAAAAAAAAAATTAATACACTATTTTCAGAAATTGCTGAGATAATTATTGTCCATATGTTTTAATGTTAATTATATTCTATATAACGTATTTTAAAGTATTTGAATTTAATAATATTCTAATTCTTTTAAATGTTGGTATGATGGTTTTTAATTCGATATATTCAATTTCAGTAATATTTTAATCTAATTAAACGTTGGCCCAATGTTTTTATAGCTGTGGTGTTTTTATTCTCTTCTTTGCTATATGAAAGTAATAATAACCTTACTTTAGTATTTTATACTCATAGTAAATGTATTTATTTACACTTGCCTGCCATCTTAAAAAATGACATTTTCAACAAAAAATTAATCCATTACTTTTAACGATATTTATTTATTTATTTTTTAAGTTTCGAATACTTTACTATGCGTAAAAACAGCGTTTTTCAAGATGGCTGACGTTTGTAAAAATCGCGCCAACAATTCGGCCAACATAAATCGCCAAAAATCCGTGCAACCATCTACCAAAGTAGCACCGTCCTGTGCAATAAAAGTGAAGCCATGAAATGTCACGATATGATGTCACGACCTACCATGGTTTCGCTTACGTTCTACTTGGAATTGTTTAAATGTTAAGTGTTCGTCACTGCAGGTTTATAAGTCTCCCGTTCTAATCCTGTTACTTAATCTGGATGATTTTTCTACTTAGTACATTTCTTAAACATAGTAAATAATACGTACAAAATCCCGTCAAAATTGTCTGGAAAACTTCAATTAGCTATATAGTCTGAATACCTGACCTATATTTATGCTGTCATATCTGAAGAAGAGAGCTCTAGATCATTGCTTATTAATGCTCTTGGCCAGATCCCATAGGTGCTTTGGGAATATGTTCTTGTGTAATAATACATCAGATAAACATTTCAAAGCCTTTGTGTAATGGTTACATCAATTCAGCAATATCGTTTATCGGAGTCTAATGATGTTTTTATCTCTTAATATGTAAATTTTACTTTTTATTCGCATATTGCACAACCTGCAAAGCCATTAGTCCCCTGGTCCTTCTCAAAAATCAGTCTTTTTCGTAGCGTTTAAACTAATGACAATATTTTAAATCTATGAAATATTTTAATTTCGTACGATATTGTCTTAAAAAAATCCTTTTCAAGAAGTGCCAAATATCTGTTTATTGCAGTACTTTTTCTCCAAACAGGCAATATATTATCAGATCCCCCATTCTTGCTGTTGCGGTGTAAATGATTAACACATTCATCTAGCAAATGGCTATTCAAATCTCGGCAAAAACATAACTGATTCTTCACATTTATCGATTCTAATAAAACATAATTGTTTCTAATTTTTTACATATTTTCTATATGTTTTGAATTGATAGTTAAGTAATAAAGCTAGATGTTCCAAAATGCAATAAATGTATTAATTTTTAATAACTGAACATAAATTAAATTTAGATTAGTTAAGCCTAATTTTGGGTGTAATTATTAATGCATCGTTTCGAAACAATAGTGTAAGGAACCTTGTCATTACCTGCAAAAATTATTCACAAGAAAAACTAAATTCACAATTCCAAATTTAAGAAATATAGCTGATTGAAAGGTTTCAGGAAAATGGCACAAAAGAATTAATTGTCTCAAAATATTGGAATGGATTCACATTTAACACCGGAAAATATATTATGCTGCAAATAAACACATCTTCGCTTTTGGAAAATGACTAAACACTTTTTGAAATCAAGCTGCAATATAGTTTTCTACAATAATTTCAGAAATACTTTGTATTTCGTTTCTTGTTGAAAATGCCTTTTGAGTCTTCTGTTGTCATGCAAGTGACTGTTTGTTCAGAAAAACACAACAATCGTTTCGAAAGCATACGCTCTCCATCAAAGTTGTCATGACGTCATTACTTCCTATCAAACACCTTTCGAGAATGTTAAAAAAGTCTACATTTACCTGATGGATTTCGCACATCTGGATTTTTCGAAAAGGCATCTGTCCAAAACAGCAATTAAATTATTATTAAGAAAATAATAATATAATAATGTCTTGGCAGAAGTGGGAAAATGTTTAAAAATTAAACGACACCAAAAAAGAATTAAATAAACACGTTAGAATTAGTTTAAATGAGCTGAACTCTGCATTTAAATGCAGCTTTGGTGTCAGTTGCATCCTTTGTGTCCGATATGTGGTCAAAAAATTAAAATTTTTATCACCACTTAAAACTGTAGAAACTATGAGTTTTTTTCGAAGTTTAAGAAACTGACAAAATTGTCTGTTTTCTCGCTAGATTTTAAATAGATGATCTTCCATTAGCCAGACGAACATATTAATCTCTTATTACTACAAGAAGTATGGGAAGGTGAAAGATAATTCTTTATATTGTTTTCCATAAGTTTTCCCAAGTATATTGTAATTATTTTCTTAGTAAAATGTATTTTATTATTCATCAAATCGGGACTGTTTTAAAATGAAAACACCACTGACCTGAAAACGTCTTCTTAATGCGCACATTTTGGTTGATTTTGAGCGGCAGCCAAAAATGGTTGCCAGCGCCTGTTTCGTATGATATGTGTATAAAAATAAGTTATCAGATTCGAAATTTGAAATTCAAACTTGGAATTCGAAACTAAAAGTCTTTCAGAGAAAGATTACTAATTAAAAAATATCAAGCAAGTATTCAAATACATCAAGCAAGACAATGATGCCAAATTATATACCCGAGAGAAATTCATTTTCGAAATCTTGATCCCAGTATCCAAGAATCTTGTAATACTGAGCACTGTAAATGCTCAGTATCTTATATCGAATCGATATCGATATCTTATACCAAATCGAATCGATATCGAAAGCGTCTGCAAATTCTTTTTTATATTTTGTAAACCCAGGAACCACGAGAAATCATTTTTGCCCTCTCCGGCATCCGAACAATAGAAGTTTCGCTTGCTAGTTGAACATCCTAAACATTCACACCACGAGAATACGCACGAGGGATTATGAAAGTTTCTTTACGTATTATAGTCAGCTATAATAATTTATGCCTTCGTTTCAGCATGGAAAAGATAACATAAGAGCTTAAGATCAATGTCAGATTTTGTATTAGGAAAATTAGTTTTTATTGATGGTAATACATATTCACAAATAATATTTAAATACATTTCAAGATAATCTGTAGTCAAAGTATACGACGTAAAACATAAAGAAAACTGTTATAATGCAGAGGGTGCTTACACACTTTTAGAACGATTTCGGGATCGTTTTATGAATGTTTAAAATCTAAAGCGTGTTTTTTAAATATTCGATCTGACAGCCCTTTTTTGGACTGTAAGTCTGCATTGGGATTTCCATGATACTAGAACTTTCCATAAAATTTACAGAGGTATTTGTTTAAATTCTTTTTTTATGTTTTCTACAGTCCATCAATCATGGGTTTGCGCCTAAAAAGACTAGAGGTGCAATAGTTTGTAGGTGAAACGTCAAGGGAATTCGTAGGAATGCGTTGAAAAAGTATGTATGCAATAACTGTATCAGTCTTCATTTTTTTTCAAGAAACGCAGTGGTACTTTTTGAAGTATGACTTATTGCTTTGTCTTAAAGACATGGACTTCGGGAAATAGCGGACTTAATAGCGAAAATACAATGTAACAGATTCAACTTTTTGTCTCGCAGAAACTATGTAAAGAAATTACCAAAATAGTCCATTTAATCCATGTCAAAAAATTGCAACAGTCAAATGAAAATGCTACAAATTAATAATATATCTTAAAAAAATATAATAAATTTTTGTTGTTGTTGCTCATTCGGTATGTAAACTTTTGTGATATTCTGTTATCAAAAATAATATTTCCGTAGTAGAGTTATTTAGTTTTTGAATAATATCTTCAATATTTCTTCTTTTTAAAAAATATGTTCGTTACCTTTATAAACGTGTCATTTGGTCTATTTTTAATATTGTATTTCTGCATGGTTTATGTAAAATTTAGTGACTAATTTTTCGTTATTTGCATTTTTTCCCGGAATGAAGTAATATACGTTGCGTTCTTTCGATTCTAAACTATGTTTGCTTGTTCATTTATTTAAATATGGTAAAGCACATGAGCACACACTAAATATCGTAAATCACACATCTTTCTAAGAGAAAGGATGATTTAAAGATAAATTTTAAAGTGATTTAAATTTTAAAGTCCTCCAAACTTAGTAAAGACTCATATTTACGTATATTACGCATATTTGGGATAACCACAAAACCATCTATACAGCCAGCTCATTCACCGGGATTTGAAACCGTCCTATGTCCTATGTCATTACCTATGTCCTATGTCCTATGTCCAGCAGTTTACCTATGTCCTATTACCTATGTCCTGATTACCTATGTCCAGCAGTTTTAACTACTCGACTTCTAGAAAGCCGGTACTAAATTATACGATACCTAAAATATTCCTTAACTTATTAAAAGAAACAAAACTATTATTAAAGTTAAAGTCCATAAAAAGAATACTTAGATAAAAAATTACTCCTTCGAAATGACTTATGAAACATAATTTCATTTTTAAGGGTTGAAGGGCTATAAAGTTTTACTAACTTGATGTAAAAGGTTAAATAAGAACAACTTTCTAATGATACGTTAACTTATCGAAATGACCTAATTAATTTACTAAACAATATTTGCAAGAGATCATTTAATGCCAAAGAGATTTCCAAAGATTACTTCACACAGTTCTTTTACAGATTTTGAGTAGGTTACTATCTTAAGCTTTAGCAATCTCTCAATAGCCATATTAATGTTAATCTTCTTCACAGGTTGATTGAATGGGACAAATTACTTCTAAAGGATGGTTGAACCTGCGCAGGTGGTGGTCGCACTCAGCACGCGAAGATATTCTCCCTTGTGTACTTTCGCGTCCTCTGTGCTGTTCGTTTATTTCTGTGGAATAGGATTTTACCTCTGGACATCCAATTTCGCCTGCAGGTTACGAAATCTGGGAGAAGAACAACCCATTTTTATTAGTGGTATGACTTGGGATATCGAACAGAGAGGTCGGTATCTGGCGGTGAAGAACTATATCAGGGCAGCGCTGTATGTAGACAAGGCAAAGACAATGACATTCTGTGCAGCTGCCACCACTACAGAACTATATCATGTGACAGAAATTTGTAGTCGCTGGCAAGGTCCTATGTCTGTGTCTGTCTACGCTCCAGGATCTGATTTCAAGACAGCATTGAGGAAAATAATCCACCTTAGACTTTCTGATTCCTGTGTACACCAAAATGTTACATGGCATGTGTATTTCGATTCTGAATTTAGTCCTCCGCAAAAGAATTTGCGATCACCAGAAGAAGAAGCCGAATTGACTAAAGCATCTCCCACGTATGAAATGTGGCCGAAAGGGACCTTTAAATCTCATGGAACTCTTCCTTTTCCAGCCAACATTGGCAGAAACATCGCTCTTCAAGAAAGCCGTACAGATTATGTCTTAGTATCAGATCTTCACTATTATCCCAGTGCTCAGATTATTCCTCGGTTTCTAAAACTACTTAAGTTTCAAGGCAAGACTGGGAAAAAAGTATACGTCTTACCTGTATTCAGAATGTTGGGATATGGAAAACCACCTACCACAAAGACTGAATTGGTAGAAATGATATCCAAAAGCGACATAAAATTATCAAGCGGTACTTCAGACTGTTCAGAATGCAATATCTTCCCCAATGCAAGAAAGTGGCTGGAGGTTCGTCTTCCTGATGACAGTCTCTCTGTTTATTACGTTAGTCACGAAAAGGAGGAATTTAAATCCTGGCAGCCGTTCTACATATCCCAAAGGAACATCCCAGTATTCGATGAGGATCAAACCAAAGAAGGAAAATATGACAGAAAGCTGCAAGTAGGTTAATCCATTTATTTTTATGCTGCAATCTGTTACATCGGGTTGGCAAAAAAGTAATTTAAGTTTTTTAGTGGGAAATAACATTCAATATTTTCTATACAAAAAATGAACGTTAATCAGTTAAATGCCTTTCATTCTATTTTATGAACTTTTGCCATATTTCTGGTAGCTTCGTGATTCCGCGTTCATAGAACTTCTGGTCTTTATCAGCAAAAACCTCAACTAAGTGCGATTTGAGGTCATCGTTATTACCAAAGATTTTGCCATTTAAGAAGTTTAGTAAACTTCGAAATAAATGATAATTTAATGACGCAGCGTCGCTATATGAGGGATGAGATATCATTTTCGACCAAGCTCTAATAATTTTGTACGTGTTGCTAAAGATATGTGAGACCTTGCATTGTCATGGTGGAACACGATTCCTTTGCGATTTGCTGATTCTGGCCTTTTCTCTTTAATTGTTTCCTCCAGTTTCGTAACTTGTTGGAAGTAAACATCTCAGTTGATCCTTTGCTTTCTTGGGAAAGACCTCAAAAACTTTTTAATTATACACGACACCTTTTTAATCCCACTAAATTGATAGCATGATTTTTTTCTGATGCAGTTTAGTTGTAGATATAATTTGTGCTAATTCAGCATGCTTGGACAATGATGATCATTTTCAGTTAATGTTATTGTAGACGATCCGTTTTTAATCACCAGTGATAATTCGTTTAAAAAGGTTCTAGAAAAAATGACCACAGGTATAAATGCTCACAGGAAAAAAGCCCACACAAAAATATGCTCACACAGAAAAAGGCTCACATGGAAAAGTGCTCACTTACAAATATGCTCACATGGAAATAAGCCCACTGATAAATAAAATACGTAGGAATATCCTTATATTAATCAATCAATAATTAATCGATCTGAACATCGTACACCTACTTGAATTTTTCAAAGAAAAATGATTTAATTATTTAATCATTTGAAAAAATTATTGGACAAATGCTCACATTAACCAGTTCAGGGGCGGTATATCAAAGAATGAAAACTATTGTAAAATTTTGCATGTACTATATAACTACTGCCCCTGTACAACATTTTTATTCTTGTAACTGCCAATAGTTAATTTTTTTTTACTCTATTTTTGCATACTTTTGATGTGTATCTATAGGAATTGATGTTTGAATGTAGTTATTTAAGTTTGGAACCAAAAAGTTCTAGAAGACCACAGTTTCCAATCGAAGTGTGGAATCATTATGAAGCAGCCTGAGAAAATTCTCCTAAAACCATAAATCGTTACGAAAGCTTTCATAAGGTACTAAATTCATTATTTAATTGTAGCCGTCTCAGTAAATGTGGTTTTTATTTGAGGGACTGAAAAACGATTTAGCCTGTCAACGTTTATAATTAGCTATTGTAAATACAGGGTGTACTGAAGTTAAAAAAAAAAAAAAAAAGAAAATATGAAAACTTACATTTAGTAATCGCGAATCATGTAAGAAACTATGATGAAATCGATAATAAAATTAGTATTTACACATATTAGCTAATATTCAGTAATTTATGTATTTTTATAACTTTTTGAAATACATATTTATGATTTATATATATAATAAGGTATTTTACGTAATTTAAATAAAATAATTATTTATATTTGCTATTCTTCTAAATGTTTATATTATAAAATGTGTAACTTATACTTACTATTATTTTATTTTTTTAACAATTAAAATTGTAATAATTTTTTACTGTATATTCTGTTTCATTTTCTTCCTTCCTTCTCTCCTTTTCCTAATTCAAAACAGTCCGTTTGTTAATCTTATATAGCAACTGAATCTATACATAAGTTATACTGTTTTTGATATATCTATATATATATATTGTTGTGTGCGTACGGGTTCGTTATGAAATGAATGCACAAGTCCGATGAAAAATGAACAAAAATTTATTATTATCACAACAGAAATGCTTAAATTTTCTCAAATTATCATGCAGTATCACAATATTTCACAGTAGTTATCTTTTAACTACTTAAATGTACAATAGAACGTAATTCAAAACAGCTAAAGAACGCTAATCTGCGAATTCGCTATAATCAACAACGGCAGTTTTCTAAACAACAACAAACTAAGCAACTACTACAAACTGAGATGTTTTCCTCCTTTTATAAGATTTTAAAATCACGCGCTAGAATTTTCCAGTACTTTCTCGAAATCAAAAAGAGATATTTATTTATTTAACGCACGCGCTCTTGTATTTTTAATTTTTCCGGCTTAGCTTTCTTTTAATATTCGTCACGCGCTGCACTGCGCGAGAAATAAAACCATTTAATTTATAATTGAACTAACATTAGCTTTTTTAAATACCAAATTCGTAACACTGCCACACTGCCCCCTTCCCAAGGACTGCACGTCCCGGGCAGTACAATCCCTGGACAGGAAGCTAAACTTACAACTGTGGCATAAATGCAACTGAGGCATAAACATTACATTACAATATCAAACAATATAAACAATAAATGCAATAACTAACTTAAAAAAATCAAATGCTATCAAATACTAAATACAAAACAAATACTAAATACAAATCAAATACTAAATACAAATCAAATACTAAATGCAAATCAAATACTAAATACAAATCAAATCAAATACACATTTAAAAACAAAATGGACCATGGTCTGATACTATTTACAATTATTTACATTATGTACTATGGCCATAGTAATAAGCTAACCTGTCGTAAGAGTTCGAAGACTCACGGATCCGAACCACGACGTCATTCGTGTTCAGCACTGTATATGGACCATCCGAAGGTGACTGTAATTTAGGACTAAGTCCTTTTCGTTGAATTGGGTTCCACAACCACACCTTGTCTCCTTTGTTGGATCTCTGTCTAGTAGCTCTTGTGTCGCATCTGGTCTTCATTTTCTCCGTCGCCAAGTTGACTCGCTTTCGTGCAGAACGGTGCATCCTCCTCCCCTCAAACCGGGCCTGGGCATCTTGGATGTGTTCCTCAGGCGATGAAGGCGCATCCGTAGGGCGACTAAACAGGCGGTCACAAGGCAGACGAAGGTCTCGACCGAAGAGCTTCTGGGATGGAGAATAGCTGGTAGTCTTGAGTTTTTCTTTTCGACCCTGGTATGATTTCGGCAGCTTCCCGAGCTCGATCTTTCGGACAAGGCGACGACATTTCCAGGCGAGGATCCCTTTTGAGGATGGATAGTCATGCCATCAGATGCTGAAAGCAGCTTATTGTTTTTGAAATCTAAGGAAAAATTGTATTTCCTTAAAAAGTCCAATCCGAGTATGCATGGATCTGTAATATCCGCCACATATGCCGTGTGATGGTAGGCGGCACTTCCAAACGTGATGTTTACGTTTAACTTCCCAGTTATGTCGATCTTGTCACCAGACGCAGTCTGAAGGGTAACACAGGATGGCGTCCAAATAAGTTTATCTTTAAACTGTTCAGCTAAATCTTTCCTAATGATGGTAACATTAGCTCCTGTGTCAATGATCATATTGCAAGGAACTCCATCGATATTCCCATTGATGGACAGTCCGTTATTGTTGCCACTCACTATAGAGATCTTAAGCGCTTTAAAACAGGGTTTTTCATTATCTGGCAACCTCCGTTCCTTGATATGGTCATTAATTTGTTTCCTGCGTCGTTGCTCAGAAATTGTCTCAATTTTCGTACCCTGGGGTGTTCTGCAATTCTTTCGTACGTGGCCTTCAGCTCCACAGTTCCAGCACTTTGGTTTCTTGTCAGTCCTTTTCCTTCCCGTGGCATTTAATTGTCTGTTTAAATCGTATGCCTTATTTTCCGTGCTCTGGGGAGTTCTGCAGTTCCTTCGTAGGTGGCCTTCAACACCGCAATTCCAGCACTTTAGGGTCGGTTTCGTTTCACCACTATTCCGTTTTAAAGCATTCACTGGTCTTGTCAACTCATCCGTTTTATTATCCGTGCCCTGGGGTGTTCTGCAATGCCGTCGTAGGTGACCTTCAGAACCACATCTCCAACATCTTACAGCCACTTTGTTCTCTCACTGCTACTCCGTATCAAAGCGCATCGACTTGTCTGGATAAATCATCTAAACGAGCCATCAATTGGTCCCCTGGATCGTGGACTCGCACAGCTCTGACTGGGTAGCGATCCCTAAGAGTTGCTTGCTGGGCTGCCTCCAATTTCACGGCGTACAACAGAGCGCTTTTTACTTCCTTTACATCTGCCATTCGCAGTGCTTTCTGTATTTCAGTATCTCGGATGCCGTCGATAAAGTATTGCAAGGACAGGATTTCCCTTGTTTCTGTCGGGCATTCCGAAAAGGCGAGATGAGACAGCCTTTCAACATCCGCGGCGAGCTCCTGAAGTGTTTCGGTAGGCTTCTGTTGACGAGATTTTAATTGGAGCCTGCTGTAGTCTTTTAAACACTTCTCCCCAAAGCGCAACTCCAAGGCGCCGGACAGAGCTTCGAAATCTAACCTTTGATTTTCGGGAAGCGTCTGCAGGATATCCGCTGCGTCCGCTGCGTCTGCTCTCAGAGAAGCGGCGAGATGACAGGCCTTAGCTTGGGAATCCCATCCATTCGCATCCGCAACGATAGAAAATTGTGTCTTATACACCTGCCAGGAGGTCTTCCCATCATATGTGGATAGCTTCAGAACGGAACGAGCAGGCATCGGATAAAATTTAAAACCTTCAGAATTGTTTCCTGCCGTCGCTATGCACTTCTTTAGGCTGTCAACTTCTTTGGCGACGGCCGCAGAAACCCTATCATCAATTTGTTGTTCGACGGCAGAAACTCTCTCTTCTATATGTTCTTTTTTTTTTACAGAAGAAATTCTTTTTTTCTACTTGTTCTTTTACCGAAGAAACTCTTTCTTCAATTTGTCCAACTTTATTTTCAACCGCGTCTATTCTTCTGCCTTCCATAGCCTCAAATTTATTTTCTATTATGCAGGTAATTTCTCTTTTCATTTCGTCCTGACCTGCTTTCATCTCATTTTAAAGAGAT